ACGGTGGATATGCACTACTGATGAGCTCTAATAAGAGCGAAACTCGAGTCTAGTGCTTCCGACTGTATGGTTGAATCGATGAACTGAGGATTGTGCGTGAAGGTGAAGTCCGAAGGATAATCAATCAAATCAATCAATATCGACCATCCCACACACACTACTCGCAAGTAACTGTGAGTTCAATACTTTCTATATATCGTGGGCATCACACTGATCAGTGAATTATGCTGTAAGTTGGTGATGGTGAAAGCAGCAACAACGATATTCGTTGTTGTGGCGCAGTGAGGCAAACGAAAGCTTAAACATACAAAGGCGATTTTTTTCTTTCTCTCGCACGTGATTTCAAGTATGCTGACGTTGTCCGGCACCCAGCCACTTGATTTCCATCCGACCTGCCTTCCCCCGCTAAAAACCGGCTTGATGTTTTGTTTTTCTTCTATCAATCGGATCCTATTTCAAATCGAATAGCTTTATTTTTTGCATCCTTTTTCACTCATACCTTACAGTAATACTTGGAAATTAATTATTTAGAGTGACGAGATTTCAAGAAACTGAAACAAGCTTTTCCCGTGATAAATTTGAAAAGAGAAGCCAGTATAGCAACATTGCACGATTTATGTCCTGGACGATTTCGCTGCATCTCAACTGGTGCCTACTGCAGACAAATACAATGTTTATATATGGTTTGGGAATGAATCACAAAATAAACAAAATAAACGTGTTGATGATGCAACACCTCGTGGATCGCGAGAAAGCATTTCGAGTGATTTTTACTACTGATAACACCAGAATGCTCAAGATAGCCGAGGCGCTGGCAATCAACCGATGGAAACCAATTCTATGTCAACAAAAAGACTTGTTCATCACCTTGGCTTTGCCTTGGTGACACCTCCCCCCTTATTTATAAGTGGTTGTTTTATGATTCATTCCCAAACCATATATAAACATTGTATTTGTCTGCAGTAGGCACCAGTTGAGATGCAGCGAAATCGTCCAGGACATAAATCGTGCAATGTTGTTATACTGGCTTCTCTTTTCATGTTTAGGGTGAGTTCAGCCAAATACCTTGGAGTCACTAGAGATGACAATCTTCGTTGGTAAAACTTACATTCACAACGACGCTGGGAAGCTGTGGTGTTCTTTATATGAAATTACAAAACCCAGATGAGCCCGCACTTCGTAACCAATTATTCACACTTTTTAATTAAGTGTTTTTCCAGACTTAGTTTAGTGTTCTTCGATTATCTTCTCGGGTTAACTCGAACAAGATAACAAAATCTTATACCTCGCCTTCAATCTCCTCATTTATCTATGAAACTTATCGATAATCACGTAGATTCATAAAGGAAGAAATCTTCTAGAGCACTCATAATTAGCACCTTACTGCGCACATCCCTTTAAATGTTCTGAAGGCCGCAACAGTCCAGCTCGTATAAACGTGCACAATAATTTCGTTTTTCCGTATGTAGAACCTAAACATATCAACGGATCAGGAGATTGGAGTCACTGACACTGGATGACAGACAGATTCGCTGTCGTTTGGCTCAATACCAAATCTATGCTATGGTGGCCGTATGTGGCTCACCACTCCAAGTCCCGAGACTCAAGTTGCCGATTCCCATGAGTGGCCAGTGGGTCCTCGTGATTACAAGTTTAACCCTATCTCGAGTGTTCATTGCAAAACAGTGTGTAATAAAAAAATTTAAAAAAGTGAACCTGATTTTGATCTTGAACAACAAGTCACTTTTTTGATCCCTCGGAACTAATTGATTTTCGTGTATTGTATCTCATGCCACGATTGAGGTGGGAATTTTTAATAACTGAAATATAAGATGTAGTGCTTGATCAAGTGATACAATACAGTGCAAAAACAAACAGCTAATGGCCTGTGGCATCTGGGCACTGAAAACCAGACCAACACTTGCCGGAAGCCGGATTTCGACTGGGCGAGTGTAAAACCAATCGACCAATCAACCTACGTTTAAATAATTACAATGATGAGTTCCTGGAACAAAGCTGCGGAAGACAAAAGCTACGAAGAGAAAGAAAACGGTGAATAACTCACATCTTAGTATAAAATGCTTGATTTTCTCATGCATTGTATTCACACGGTCCACATCTTTCCGGTTGCTCAATTCGGGAAATTCGAGTAATTCCTGAGTGAAAATGCACGTAATAAGAAGATCTATCAACAATGGATGCAAATGGAAATTTGAACGGAACTGAAAGAAGTCCGCCTCACTGAGTTTCACTGAATTCACTCGTCTTTAGCAACAACACAGCTCGCAAATCATCAACGCCGTTTTCTATGTCGTTATTTCGAATGAGTCATATACAAGCAGAGGATGTCTATTTTACACGTGAACACTGAAGAGGAAAGGTGCGCAAGTGCAAGCAAACAAAACAGAACGTGATCAGAGCCTGTGACAAATGGGACATTAGGAAATCCGGATAATCATCCGTTGTGGGAAGAGGATGACTTAAACAATCGTATACATGATAAAATTAGCACATAAACATCAGATAAAGAGAACACGAGAAAAAGGGAGCTAGAGTCACACATTTTCGGTGGAAAATCCCGAAACCATCAAGTGTATCCGGTGGTATGATTAGTAGAAGTGAACATTGCAAACAGATACCCGGGAGCTGCGATTTTTGGCCCTGATGACTGCGCAGCGCTGCATGAACTTGGTGGAACAGTCCGAAGAACTTTGTTGAGGATGCGCCTAGAATAATGACCAATCGACAATACGCCGCCGAAAGCCCCAGCATGGCCCGGAGTGGATGCCTGAGGTTGTGACTGGTCATCTTGCCTTGGCACATGGCAAAATGCTCCCACACAACTAAGCATCTCTGGTAGTTCCTACGGAGGAAACCCAATTCACTGCCTTTGACACGATTATCCCACTGTAGTGAATAGAAGAAGAATCAACATCCGCTACTATAAATGGGCATGTGAACTGCGAGCGGCTGCCCGAATGAAGCTGGTGAAAAACCCGGATTCCATACACTCGATGTGCTTAATGAAAGCAGAAACATATGATTTCGCTGACTTTATTTTAACGCCTTCTTAATCACATTCGCTCGGGGTTAATCAATAAGCAGTGGTAGGTGGATCGAGACCAAGTGAGCCTGAATCATAATCATCATCGTACA